CGCGATGGAATAGAGAGGTGGTGAAGCCGCCGCGGCCATAAGTGGTTGCTTCAGAGAAAGAGAAGAGAAGAATAGAGAAGAATATGGAAATGGCAGCCATGGATGGCAGTTTCAAAAGCTTCTGAGAGATGAGGATTTTGATCTGCCGATGCCATGGATTCTCCTCTTATATATATACACGAAGTTATAGAGAGAGAGAATTTGCATGGCATCGTAGGATCCGACTTTTCACATAATTTCCCTATACATTTTTGGAGAAGACAATCAAGACCAGGTGAATGAATCGTTTGAAGAAAATAAAAAAAACCTTTTTTTTTTCTTTTTTTCCAAATAACACGCAATAAAATTATTTTAGTTTGAATACGTTTGTTTATATTCTTACAAAGGTGATACATATTATTACGAAATCTTAAGGGTAATTTTAGTGCACGTTTCTATAGTTTTTTTTAAGTACAAAAGTATATCTGGCGTCGAAGCGTACTTCATCAAGCAAGTTACACAATTGAACTATGTTCAAATTAAATAAGTTAATGTGAAATAATTATTCTTTTAGTATAATAATAGATAAATGTGGGTATTTGAATCCAAAAGGTCGGATATATGCCATGTAAAATGGTTATCAATGAAAGAAAAATAAATATCAGTGTCCTTAATTGTAATTCAATAAACATCTTATAAAGTTGTCTTCGGATTTATTTGAAAAATACTTGGCTCTAAGGGAAATCTTGTCCACACCAAGAGAGAGAAATATAAAAGCGAAAAATGTTTTTAAAAAATGATGAGTTGTAAAATATTAAATGGTGTTAGGACAATATTCCTCTTTACTAGTGAGAAGCCAAGTATTTTCTGTTTAGTTTGGGATGTGGATGTGGATTGGCCAATTAGATGCATTGTTGTATTTCATGTGATATATGCCTATGGTATGTTTGAGAGTGATTTTGGCATCGTTTTTACCACTTCCCTTTCCATTGATCACATATTTGGTAAAATTAGAAATTTGATTTTAGGAAAGTTTTAAAATCACTTTAAACTAATTTTTAAGATAGTATCACTCCAATAATGATTTTGAAAAGTCAATCATACTTAAATCTATTCTTTCTAAATTAGTGACTCTACCATCCCTTTCAAACACATCCTTAAAGTTGGTGAAGAAACGGTTATCTTGGTTTTTCAACCGTGTACAACTTCCAATATATCTCCCGAGCTTTTTGCATTAAGAATGTCCTGCTTTTCATATGGTCTAAGAAGTGCTTTTTCCATAATTGACAGATTTCCCTTTGTCTAGCTAGTTGTTGTCACATCATGTCATAGTTCATTCAAATTTTTATCTAATATAGTCTCGTTCAATTTTTTTTTTCATGTTGGCATTAAGTCAACTAATTAAGATATTATATTATGAAAAAAAAGTTGTGAGTTGGACTCTTATTTGACATATATTGTGGTTTTAATGTTAAAAAGGAGTTAGAAAATCAACGGTCGGAAATTTAATTTTCGTTAATGGCGAAAATTAAGGCTAATCTCATCGCAAGAAACATGGGATTTTAATACAACATTTAAAACTATTATTTTCCCCTTCAATTAGTCTCAAATCATTAATTGAAAGTGCGTGTACATAATTACTTCGGGAGGAATGTGTAAAGTTCAAAGACAAGGTGTTGTTTCTAAAATTAAACAATTTCCCATTTGGGTAATTGTTTTTATAATTAAATATATGTTTTTGTTTTTTACCTATGAATCCTGATATTTTAACAAAGGATAAATAAAAGGTAAAACACTATTTTGGTTGCTCCATGTTCTTTCAAAATATTCATTTTGGTCTTGTATTTTCAATTTTGATTTATTTTAGTTCCTGTAATTTCAAATTATTCGTTTTGATCGTTGTACTTTTGAAAAATAACTATTTTGGTCCCTGTTTGCAAAATTTTAATAAGTTTTACACATAATGAAAAATTCTTTAATATAAAGTATCATGATTACATTTCAATAGATAGTATAATATCGTGTTGAAATTGTGATAGAAAAAATGAGATTATATATAAAATTAAGAGACCAAAATGGTCCTTTTAAAAAAATATAAAGATCCAAAAGAATATTTTAAAGTATATTGCCTAAAATAAACCTAAAGTTGAAATCGAAAGTAAATAGACCAAAACTAAAAATAGAATGACGAAGAAAATAATATTTTAACCTAAATAAAATTATTTTCGGATGATTTTAATATCATGAATTTGTGAAGGGTAGTTTCAAAGAAGGTACGGTAACATTAATATTTACAAGTTATTGAGTACCACATGTCAAAAATTTAGTGCCTCATAAATGCATAAAGTATTTTCTGTCTGTCTTATTTTCCAAGTCAAACAATTCTGTTCCTTATTTTATGGGAGACTTTTTAGAACCCTTTTTCAGTTGGGGTTTGTTTTGAATAATGACAGATTTTTAGGCGCTGTTAGTTAGTAAGTTTTAGCTTATAAAGACGTGAAGTTGTTCATGTAATATATATATATATTTTTATAATTATGAGTGTTTGGACTAGCTTGATCCTATTATATTTAGGATATTAAATTTTAGATAGGTGGCCACCATGGAGTTTGAATGATGATTTAGTCCCCTTAAATTCTTTTGAATTTTCTTGACCCATTTGGACCACTAGATCAACCGTGATGGTTTGATGTTGTCGTAATTTGGCCGAGTAAAAAAAGTAAAAAATATACTTGTATTTTATTCCATATTGCTAATTGTTGCAATTCTTTTTAATCACACTTCTTAAAAAAATATATGAGTGTTTTAATTTATTGGGCTATGTTTATATTGACTTTTGTTCTGGAAAATCCTAATATGAGAGTTCATGAAAAAGTTTGTTTAAGAATATGATATGTAAATTGAAATGATTTTTTTAGACAGACAGGTTAAAAGAATAAAATAATTAGGACAACTAATTCTTTGCCGTAAAAAATGGTATTTTGAAATTAAATATTTTTGGGCTTTCCAAAAAAAGACACGAAATTAAATATAGCTCTTAACACGGTTCAAACTCAGAGAAGAAGGGAAAAAATATCACTCTACCATTTTCTCCTTCAAATTGGAGAGATGTTGACAAGACCTAAATTATGGCATTCTTTATGTTTGCCTGTTTGGTACGACTAAAATGAAAACTTTTGCATTCATTCAAATCGTAGGGTCCAAAGTTTATGGTACGAAAAAAATCCAAGATAAAATATCGATCTTCTAAGTGGACAACAAGCACTCTTTATAATTGTCAACAAAGTATTTTCGGATCCCAACATTTGCGGTACTAAAAGAAAGAACACTACTTGTAATTTAGAAAATATCTTGGTTCCAAAGTGATTGATCTAGTTACAACATAAATAAATGCTTATTACACTTTTACTGCATTTTAAGATATAGGGACTAAATCTCATCAATAGATTAAAATTTATCCATTAAATCGTTACATAATGTTAAATTATATATAGAGATTAAATCATTACATAATAACGTATTAAAAGAATTCGTAACATAATAACATCTTTTTTAGCACAATAAATGTGAGGTTGATCCTCCAATACCTCTAAATAATGGAGCTATATATAGTATTGTATCTACTTGAATAATATATATAGATTCACTTATTGTTTTGGCCTAAAAATTTTTAATGATATTCAAAATTTATGTACTTTCTAATTGATCCTTTAGAGTTGAGCGTTTAAATTACCATTGGTATGTTTTGTTAAATTATAAATTTAATCAATAATTTCTTTTTATCAAAATAAAACTTTATTAAAAAGATATCACCCGAGTCAGTTACATTTGAAGTATGACTACAACTACCTTCATTCAAGATCCAAATAGGGAAATACTTGTCTCCCTTTTAACTAGGAGCCTCCTTTCCTTCTGCGTAGTTCCTCGAAAACAACGTTCGATTGACATAAGTTAATTAGCATATAGCTAGTATTTCTTACGAGCCCCCACAAATGAATAGAAAGCGAGGCAAAGAGTATTTCATCAAAGGGAGAAAAAGGGGTTGATCTAAATTCAAAGTAGTAGCTAGAGCGGATTGAACAAATAGACGAGATAAAATGACACGCTTGCGAGAATCTGAAAAAATTGCATAGCCCATGGAAGTTTTTCCCAGGTTAGCAATATCAGAGACCACCCAAATTGCAGCTTCACAACAAGACGTACTTTCCCCCTTTCACTAGTTGGATCGCCTCAAGACAATCCGAAAACACGACAACCTTTTGAATCTCCAAACGAGCCGTGAGACAAAGTGCCTCTCTGATAGCGAAAATTTTTGCATGAAGGGAATAATAACCTACTTCAACGAACTTGGCCAGTGCAAATTTTAAGGAATTTTGGTTAGATCACGTTGTAATCCCAATATTAGTATATGTCAAAGACCGGTGGCAAGCAGCATAGATATCAAAATCGATGTCTCGTCGTTGTTGAAAAATACTTGACAATTGGATTATGTCTGACTGATCATTATTGAATTTTTTTCAAGAAATTTTATTGTGTTTTTGCTTTTATCTCTACTAATTGTCAAAGATCAACATTTTTATTGGTAAGAACCCAAGTAATTTTATTTATTATATCCACAAAATTTTTCTAGGGCGACCTGTGGTTTCGAAAGAGAAATGAATGAATTCGACACATCGAAAACTAGATGATCGAGAAACAACATGTAGTCAAATGTCTATGCACAAACGGTGGGCTTAAACGATAGCCTCCTCGCATGGAGATCATATCCGACCAAAAAGTTCATCTGAGCCAAATTCCCAAAAATGGCCAACTCCGACGACGGCGCAAATGTCAAGCAACTCACATTTTCGGCGACCTCCCCAAACGTGTTCAACGGCAGCAACTTCACGGCCGCAGAGCCGCCGAAATGGGCGGTGATGGTCGGAATATGCCCATCGCGGATCTCGTTTGTGGCGTAGCACAGTTCCAGAATCCCAGCCGGATCCTCCGCACGCTTTGCTCGGATGACTTTGGTCAAAGTCGAAACGACGCCGTCGTATAAGTTCTGAGGAAGGAACGTCAGTGTCGTCCCGGAGTCGATGATTATGTTCCCCATTCCTCCCTCCACGGCAGACGACATGTCGGCCGCGTGACGCGTGTTTCCCACGGAGACCGCTTCGAGAGTCAGGTAATAGTATGTGTCCGGATTTTTCGGGACGAGCGGCGTTGAAACTGCTCCACGGCCCGAAACGACGGCGTGTCCTCCGAAGTTTATTGTGCCGGTGAGATTCGCGTTTCTGAAGATATTGGGCAAGCAATAGGAGAATCTCCGGCGGACGGCGCCGATTTTGTTCAACTGAGAGGCCAACGAGAGGCTGCCGCCGCCGAGTCCGATGATCCCCGACGAAGCTCCGCTGCCGAAAGTGCCCCCGTTCTCATGGCCGCATCCGATTACCGTGTTGCGGAGGCGGAAGGACCCGATGGTAATTTTGTCACGCCCTAGCTCTCCGTACGTGTAGGACTGGTCTCCGTACGTGTAACCGTAGCCGCAGGTTCGGCCGTCGGGCCCACACCCGGAGGCCTGGAGGGAGTGGCAAGTACCGGACCTGCACGACACTTGGCGGTAGGTGGAGGATCCACGTGGATTAAAAATGGGGCCTGATTGGTTGAAGCATTGGTTACATGGCAGGCACTGCGTCCACGTCAGGTCGCTTCCAGTATCGGCGATTCCGACGAACTTTACCGGCGGGGTTCCGAGGGAGACTTCCATCAGAAACTCCCCATTGGCGGGGATGATCGGAAACTTGGCGGCGGTGGTGGAGACTCCGGCGGCGGCGCGGCGGAAGAGAGTGGCGGAGCGGGAGAAGGAGCGGCGGACGGCGTTGTTGAGGCGATCATAAGGGGAGAGAGAGGAATCGCGGTGAAATAGAGAGGCGGTGAAGCCATTGGTGCTATGAGTTGTTGCTTCTGAGAAGGAGAAGAAGAGAAGAATGAAGAAAACTGAAGTGGCAGCCATTGATGGAACTTTCAAAAGCTTCAAAGTGAAGTGTGTGGAGAAATGAGGATTTTTACCAGCCAAAAGTTTCTCCTTTATATATGGAAATTTAGAGAGAGGGAGTTTAATTTGCATGGGATCATATGACCTGGATTTTTCTCATACTTACCTAAAGTAGAATTAATATATATAGTGAAGAAGACCATGTACTGAATTACTAAAAAAATAATAATAATCAGAGAAAACAATCAAATAAATTTATTTTAAATATGTTTGTGGTGCCTTTATATTTATTTATATTTGTCTCTAATATTGTTTCAATTTTATATTTAATAAGTACTTTTCACCTATTATTTATTATGATTCAAAGATTTATTAGACACAAAATTGAATTTGTGTCTAATAAGACTACTGTTAATTTTTAAAAATGTCGAAGAGGGTCAATGACTTATTAGATAATAAATCTAAAGCGGATTTTTTTTAGTACAACAAAGCTGACCGGGATCTATAGATGGAAACTTTTTAAAATTTTAGGATCCTAATAGATATTTTTTAAGTTAAAGGATCTCTTATATAAAAAATTGGAAGTTTGAGGAGATTTTTCTTAAAGTTCATACAAATGCGAAAAGTGTAATAGAGATTAAACTTATAATTGAATGTTTAAATTTTTACAAAGGTAATAATATTATATGAAATCAAGGCTAATTGTAAGGCACGTTTCTAACATTTAGATGGAATTGCCGTGGTATAATTAAGGTAATTAGTTGAATGTATATGAAATTAACTTTAATTAGAAAAATGCAGTGTAACCCTAATTTTAATCCGCTAAATTAGTGGACAAATGATCACATGATTACTAGTAATCTCAAATCTAACTTATTCCTAATTGTATTTGACATTTCTTTTGTAATTTGTCCAATTAATTGCTTGTAAAAGTCATGCCAATAAACAATAAATTTTACTAATCGTGAACTTGAACATAGTTCAATTGGTTAAGGTATCTAGGTTCTATAGAAAAGTAGTAAGTTCCAACCTTCATCCCCACATATTATTATATTAAAAAATTAATTAATAAATAAATTTTACTAGTCATATATATCACAATCTTAAAAAGTATATGCTCCTAAAAAAAAATCTTAAAAAATATATAGAAAACTAGTTTAAATATTTTTAATACATTTTCAGAGTTCTTAAAAAAGTTTAAAGACATGATATATGTACATGGAGAAAGTATCTTTTAAAAAGATGGTTAAATAAGTAAAGTAGTTTTATCAAAATAATAATATAATAAGTAAAATGGTTAATACTTAAAATAAATTAATGCATTATTAAAAGATTGTTTTCATAAAATACAACCTTTTAAACATAAAACTCAAATTTATCATATTCACCTCGAAAAGGATAATATATTCTTTTCAAGAAAGAAAGATTAAAATCATATGGAAATTTCTATGTTTGGTATAATTAGAATGAAAGCTTTCATTTTGCAGATCATAATTCGTAGTATTTATTTCCCTTTATGGATGGTTTTGGATTTTGAACAAATCAGCCATATTTAATTAAATCAGATTATAAGGAGGATATTTTACCTTTCTCAACAAAATAATAATAAATAATATTTGAAGAATGAGTTAGAAATTAAAAGGTAAGAGTTATAATTAATTTTTAATAAATTATAAAATACATGTCGAATACTAGCTAAGCTGGATCCAAACATATTAAAATATAAAAGGTAAGTTGAATTTAAAGGTGTCATGCGTTATTAGGTAAAAAATTCAGAATCTCATTTATAGAAATAAATTAAATTTCCAAAAAAAAAAAATTAATCCAGCAACTATGGAAATGCTATGATTTAGGCTGTTCTGAAAATTGATTGTTTGATTGAAAAATAATGAAACCAAGACTCGATAATTAGTTTTAAAGTGAAAGTGAATATAGTTCAGTAGTAATTGATATATGTCTCCAATCAAGAAGTCGTGAGTTCGATCCCCACTGCCACCGATTGTATCCAATAAAAAAAGACAAATTAATTAGTTTTTTTTTCTTACAATTTGTTTAATTGTTTTGAACTTTGTCAATTGAATTGTATTATGATGGTTATGAGTCAATTGAATGTGCTAGCTCTCCTAAGGAAGGAAAAATATGATGTAGTTTGTTGACCAGAAAAGTCTTTTCCTTTTAAATCAATTTTAGGGCATTAGTTCGTCTTACTGTGGGTATAATGGTAATATATGCAAATAAATTTAGCTCATTCCAAGGATGTTAATAACTAATTATTTTATTTTATATATACATATATGATACAAACATGAATCTATTAAGTTTAATTTGAAGTCAACAACTTAATTCAACGAGATAAAAGTTTCATTGAATTTATTTTAATGTATAATTCAAAGTCTAACTTACGCATCATATATCACAATTGTATATATAAAATTATCCAAAATTATTTGACTATTATAATTAAACTAATTAAAAATCTTAGTAATGTTGTTGAAATTAAACAAAGAAAAATGTTGACATAACCTATAAAAATATTAGCTAAATTATACTAAATTTTGAGGTATTCTTAAATTATACCTCTATTAGTTCAAAAATATCTCTAATAAATCATCAAAATTCTTTTAAAAATACAACTTTAGTAAAATTGAGGATGAAAATATAACGTCACGTTGAGTTGTAAAAATAAAAAGTACATATGACAAGGAGCTGTTTACAAGGAATAAAAAATCAATTATGCCCCTATTGTTTATTAAAATTTCATTTGGTCCCTTTTAACCTTCAAAATTGTTGCAAAAAAACCCTTTCGATAGCTTTTCCATTAAAACCAAAAGACCACTGTTACAATATAAATTTGTTTTTGTTTGGAGATGAAAATTTGTCTTCCTCCATCCACAAGTCTTTTTCCTTTTTCCCCAGTATTAACATACTCGCACTTTCACAATTATGTTTTTCATGTGAATGAGGAAGTTAATGGAATGATTTTTTGAAACAATTTCAAAGATTAAGAGTTGAAATGAAATTTCTGTTATATCATTATCATTATTAAGTTCAACAAAATGGGGAGACACGAGATTATGCTAATCTCAAATTCTAAGAGAGGAGTAGAATAGATATATATACCTTGAACGCTAGCTGAACACATGTTGATAATAATAAGGCTAAGTTAAGATATGCAATCAAGTAGAGTTAGATTGATATTTAATCTTTGAAAAACCATAAATATTATCCTTCCCTTATTCAATTTCAACGACATTTTTAAAAAAATAATAAACCACAACTCAATTCAATAATTTAAACGGATGGATTGGATATTAATAATATAAATGAGGAGGAAATAATAGTGCAAGAGTACATACATGTGCCCCACCCAAATTTTGAGGGTTTGGTGTGATTTTCCATTTTTAGACTCAAACCAAGGAAGTAAAAAGAAGGTTTTTATAAAATTTATAATTATCCACCTTTTCTTATTATTATAATGAGTTCATAATATGAATATCGACCAAATTAATCTTAAAAACAAAACTTGTAGGGCGACCTGTGGCTTCGAAAGAGAAATGGCTGCAGTCGACACATCGAAAACTAGATGGTCGAGAAACGACATGTAGTTCTAATGTCTAAGAACAGACGGTGGGCTTAAATGACAGCCTCCTCTGCTCAAGATCATATCCGACCAAAAAGTTCATCTGAGCCAAGTTCCCAAAAATGGCCAACCCCGACGACGGCGCAAATGTCAAGCAACTCACGTTTTCAGCGACCTCCCCAAACGTGTTCAACGGCAGCAGCTTCACGGCCGCACCGCCGCCGAAATGGGCGGTGATGA